CTCAGTGGAATAAGTGCTTCCCTGGCAAGTGCAAGGGCCTGAGTTCAATCCCCGGTTCCACCAAAAAAAAAAAAAAAGAAAGAAAGAGGAGGAGGAGAGGAGGAAGTGTGGACTCTTTTTCTCCTGCTAATATGTCTCATGTTAGAATCCCAGTTAAGAACCAGGATTTGGGTTAGGGATATGGCTTAGCTGTAGAGCACTTGTCTGACATGCTGAAAGCCCCAGGTCCCTGGGGCTTTCAAACAAACAAACGTTAGCAGGGAATGGTAGCATTTCAATCTAGCTGGGGCAAGAACATTGTGATTTTGAGGCTAGCCTGAGCTACATAGTGAGATTCTGTCTTAAAGAAAGAACTATAAGTGCTTGCCTGGCAAGTGCAATGGCCTGAGTTCAATTCTGCCAAAAAAAAAAAAAAAAAAAAAAAGAAAGAAAGACAAGAAAGAACTAATGTGAGGAAAGGTGATCTAAAGATTCTCCTGTGTCCTTCACATGAGCTGCTGCTTACTTACACTGTTGGTTTTTCCTTTGTCTGGAGAGACCTTATTTATTAAGTTCCGAGTTTTGGGTGTTTTGTTGTTGTCTTGTTGTGTTTCTTTCCCTCTCCCACTCCCATTCTGAGGATGGAGTCCAGGGTCTCCTGTGTGCTCAGCAAGTGTGTGATCACTGAGCTACACTCCCAGCCCCAGGCCTAGGCTATATGGGGTTTTTATTTTTTTTTTATTTTTTTATTTTTTTGGCGGAACCGGGGATTGAACTCAGCCCTTGCACTTGCCAGGAAAGCGCTTATTCCATTGAGCCATGTCCCCGGCCCCTTGTTTTTGTTTTTAGACAGGTTCTCCCAGCTAGTCCAAGATGAACTGGACTACGGGTGGAATTGAGCTCACTATGATTCTCCTGCCTCACTAATTTATGGCCTCAGCTTCCTGAGTGATGAGATTATAGGGATGTACCCAGTGACCCTGGGGGCAAGTCTTAAAGGAGGATTCTTCCCCAAAGAGCCCAAGGATGGGAGGATTCTGAGGTAACCCCCATGCAATAGCTGAGAGTCTGCTGAGTCACTCTGAGTGACCACACTCAGACTTAAATCACAGGAAGGGGACAGGTATTTCACATAATCCCTAGTCTGGCCTTCTCCATCTAGTCCATAACAAACACCATCACCTCCTCTCCACCCTGCCCTGACTCTTTGGGTTAGGTCTGCAGATCACTTCCTAAACTTGAATAGGGTGAGTAGGGGAAGCTCTAGTAAATGATGGAAAGAAATATATACATATATATTT